CAATAACCGACCTCCCTGCATGGCCACATGACTTAGTATATAAAGTATGGCTTGTTGGTTAATTGGTAATTGGAAACATAGCCTAACCAATAAAAAGCTGCTACAAAGTACTAATTTTACTCCTAATTCAGAGCAATACAAATTAACCATAAGCGAGAAAATGACCTAAGGCGAATACTATCGTCTTCTTTAGAAACACACAGAGAGGAGCTCTGTTCATTTAATAACCCCCAAATTAAAGGAAAATGTATGATTCAATCATCTGGCCACAGAGTTAGATCATGCTCTATGACATCATGCTGGACTGCTTAATGCTGTTGACCTAATCCAGCTATGGCGGAAGTCAAATCAGTACGTTAAACATCCGGGGAATATCTCTGCATGATGTAGTAATGCACTGACCTTTACTGGTAAATTCACTTTTCCGTAGTAGTATTTGGTACTATGACAGTAGAGACTTAAGAAAGGCAGAGCATTACAATTTTTTGAACTGCCACAACAACATCATGACTGTGCTCTACAGCAACACTGCTTCAGCTTACCTTGGGCCTTTGAAATTGAAAAACACAGTGGAAACTATGGAAGAACCTCAGGAGGAGGTCCATTATGGGGTAAACTATGAGAAAGAGGCAAGCTCCATACAGTTAGATAATGGAGAAGCAGGCGGATATAATGCTTCAAAATTATATAAAACTATTACATTACTTGTTTTTCACGTCAACATCAACAAACATTTCTCTCCCTTTCCTTTCATTTATTGGTTTATTTTGCATGGAGTTGGTTTTACTGTTCATAATAACAGCCCACTTAGGACTTTTATGAGCCATGGTAAAGAAAAAGGTTAACCAAATGAGCCATTTCTAAGTAGAGGCTGTGTTTTTCTCTGCCACAAAGCATTGCAAAGCTCTTCCATCATTGGGCCTGCCCAAGAATACCGAACAACAGTTGGTTTTAGCAGTTGTTGTTGACTTGCAGAACTATGCTGCAGTTGGTCAACTCCTGTTCTCTATGTCAAGGCATAACAACAGACAGACACCACATGTGTCGGCTATAAAGTTTGTAAAACACACCACTAAGCAAATGCGTCAAAGAGTGGCTCAGCAGGGTCAAATGGGTGACGCAATCTGTGCAAATGCTGACAGGTGGGATGGCAGGCATGACTTTTAAGGCTGAACAGACTGGGTGTGACTGCAAAGAGATTACTGAGACTTTCACTGGGCTGGGCTCTCTGTTCCTGTGTGATGGGAAACTCACTTTCTTTAACTACTGGTTACACATATCACCTCTGTAAAGA